CCCCCCCCCCCCCCCCCGAAAAACAAGAGACTGAATTTAAAATAATGCAGTTTTTAATACAGTAAAATTGGAGTTCTTTTTATTTTCATTTGAAGTTTTTCTCAGTACCATGAAAGTACTGAGAAACTTTTTAAAGATCTGACTCTCAGAGTTAGGCCTTTGAGAAAATAACCAGGCATGGTAAGCTTTGGCAAAAGAGGTATGTATCACAGTGTGGCTTTACGATTGCTTGGAGTTTTGGCTTTCATTGTTGGTAAATCTAATATGCTGGCAATTTCTACTACCTAAGCATTGGTCTGTATTTACACTGTGTGCTTCTTTTTGCTATATTTTTATATGAAGACATTGCCAAGCTCCCTGCATTCTTGACATTGGGATCAGTGGAATTACTCATTCCTTTGTTGCTTCCTTTGGGCTGCCTTTGACTGATGATACAATAGCCTAGGCTGTATAAAACTTTGTAGTTGGCTACTTGGATTATCGTTGGTAGTAGATTATATTAGCTAGCACAGTAGGATTACTTGGCTCTTAATTTCGTTTTCAATGGGTGTATCTGCACAAGACGTGCACTGCAGACCCGCCCAATTAGCCCCACAGTAAATATCTCCACATCTACATACGTATCCTTATTAAGGTGCATGAAACTAATAAACTCTGGAGCAGGCTAGTACTTATAAATACTTTTTTGTGTGCAGGAGTGCATGTACAGATACTGCCCAGCTGGCTGGGGCATAAGGGTGCTTCAGTGTGGGAGCGGCCTGCCAGCTAGCCCCACACTAAAGCATGCTCATGCCCCAGCCATCTCCTCTGCAGCACAGTAAGCCTGATCGGAACAGCCCTGGGCTGCTGCCAGCTGAGTCTGCTCTGACTAGGCTCAATGTACTGCACACAAACTCTGAAGCAATATACTCTGGAGTTATTTGCTCCTGGATGCATGGTTTGAACATGCACTGAGGAGCAAATAACTCCAGGGCAATAAGCTCCGGAGTTTATTTGTGTGTGTTTATTGCATGTATAGACATGCCCAGTAAAAGCAAATGCTATTTATATGTTCAATGGCACTCTTGTTGAAGAAAATGGGCGAATGCAACCCCACTGACATGAGTCATATTTTACACCTGTGTTTGAGAGAGGAAAGTCAGACTTGTGACAAAACCCTGGAGTGTTAAGGGGCTCCTAGAGATTTGTGTAAGCTTCCTAGTCCCCCACTCCACCAAATGAGTATATCCACATTATTAATTTGTCCCAAAATCACCATTTACCACAGGCACTTCAGTCAAATAACAGGAAAAAGAAAAGGGTTTATAACATGGATAGAAATAGTGATCAAATGTTTTGATAACAGAATATGGTAAAACAAATATGACAAAAACCCTTGCGATACTTTCAGACTACCACCTAGCCCTCATAAACTTCTGATGAAAATCCTCTGGAGTCAACCTTCCTTCAGTCATAGCTAGTTTTCTACTGGGGACCTCTAGTCCACCTCTCCTCATAGAAAACTCTCTCCTGTCACTCTCTCTAGAACATTTCACACAGTTACCATTTCCCTCCTCCCCACCACTCACCTACATTTAGGAGAGGCAGCATAACCTCTTGAGTGTCTCTCTGCCTGTGGCTGCAGGACAAGACTCGTTGACTGTGCATGATTTTTTTGCCTTGATGAAGACTGCAGCGTTGGATTTGAAATAGATTAGTTATTTCTAACTAGACTAATTTATTAACAAAGTGCCCCTCTTAAATTTCAACCCCTCTTAAATTTAGTCTACAGCTTTTTCATAGAATCTATTTGCTACATTTTATGTAAGCAAGTTAAAGCACTTCAGTTGGCAAGTTAAAATACAGGTTTGGTGAGCAGAATTATGTATTGATTAGGACTGGGCATGTCTACCCATTCATTAATGGGCTTTTGCTAATGTGCGTTATATTTAGTACCTCCATTTTGAGGTACTAGAAAAAGACCTATTACATTAGCCTATTTTAATATGCATTAGTAAAAGTGCACAGTGTTTTTGTGATGCTTTAATGCTCATTAAGATGGGATAATGCACATTAAAAGGCATGTATAGGTGCACCCATTGTGATTTCTACACAATGGGTGTACCCCCCTCTTTTAAAATTTTATGCCCATCGCCTGGCTGGCAACAATATAGCTGGATATTCAAGAGTCCAATTCTGTACCATCACATCTGTGAAAACCAAAATTAACTCTGTAGTTACAGAGTTACTCCTGATTCACAGTGATGTAATGGGGTTAAATTTGATTTAGATTCTGATTAGCTGCAAGTTCCTTATGATAACACACTATTTTCATAACTTACCTATCCTGCATTTTTGAACAGCTGCTGTCTTGTCTGGATTCAGAGATCTTCCATTTACCTTATGCTTGAGTTTTTGTTTGTTTTGGGGGGGGGGGGGTTGTTTTATTTTAGGCAATACATTGCAATGAATATGTAGGCTGAGGAAATCTTTGATTATCAGTCACTACTGCTGATTTCTGCTTCATACAGAGATTTTCTATTTCTCCTCATTTACGGAAGTGTGAACCTGGACCTAAGTGTACTGAAGAAATATATTTTCAGAACACCAGCTTTTGTGCATATTTGCTGTCTACATGGTATATGGCTTGTGCTTATCCTGGACATATTAGAACCTGTCTCTTTGCTTCTCTTTAAGTCATGATACATATGCAGCTGTGATCACATATATTGTTTCTGCTAATTCTATGAAAGGGTAATGGGGGCAGAAAAATGTGCTCAAGAGCCTCTAATAGATTCCAATCCTGTTTGCCTGCTGCTCTGTGTTACACAGAGAGACGAGCTTTTGGAGTTTTTTTTTTTTTAATCTGATAATTGAAAACCTATCTTGTTCTTACAGAATGGCTTTGCTGTTGTAAGGCCCCCAGGCCATCATGCTGAAGAATCAACAGCCATGTAAGTACCAGGGAATATTGCCCATCTTGGAGCACTAAGGTTACTGGCAATCACCTGCACTGTGCATGTCTCTGAAGAATTCTAATTGTTAGCAGATGACTGAAAAGGTTTTTGAGGTACTCCCAGAAGCAGATTTATGGCCTCAGAGATCATATAGCATTTTCTTTTTGAAAAAATGCCCTGAACATTATTTATAACTGTTTTCCTGACTGATTTGCTTTCTTATTTCTGTTCTTCTCTATTCCACAGGGGGTTCTGCTTTTTTAATTCAGTTGCAATTACTGCCAAATACTTGAGAGACAAGCTAAATATAGGCAAGATATTGATTGTAGATCTGGTATGTATTCTTGGCAAGCATCACACTTTCAGTGCATCTAGATGAAAGACAATGAATTTGTATTTACATGTCAGGCTTTCCTGCCTTTAATACTTACAAGTAATAAAGGTGTGCTTTTCCTCTGATTTTGGGAACTCATTAAAGCCAGGATGGCAGTACTGAAACCATAAACATCTATGTTTCACTTTAATGGTGTTAACTGCAATTTAATGAGAAGAAGGCACAGATCAGGGCAACTTTTATGGTCCTTAAATGAATTGATACTTCCACCATTAAAATAACCCAACAGAACACAAGTTTACTTTTCCCTACAGAATTCAGACTTTAAATAGTCAGATGTGCCTTAAAGAATGCTGTTGCTTTGGTAACTAAATTGGCCACTTCCCCAGCTAGCAATAATTCTGCTTGTTGTGTAACTTTGGTATTATTAAAACAAATCAACAGATCATTTTCTCTAAGAAGTTTCAAAATCTTGTACGTTAGCTTTGAATGATTCCCTGAAGGAAAGCTGAAAAATTTTAAATCAGCTTAATTGGATTAGTTTTCTATTTTAATAGAAGGCATTTTACACAACAGTGTTATAATAGGCTTAACAAATGGTTTATTTAAATGCAGATGACATTTGGCATGTTGTCTATATTATTTTCATGAATAATGAATTGGAACTATGGTACTTAAAGGATCAGCCCAATACACTGCCCAAGGAAAACTGAATGTTGATTTATGAGCACCATTTTTGTTTTCCCTACAGTTCATGAGGAGGTGTAATAGGTTGTCTGACAAAGCATAGACAGGAAATGAACCCTGGCATCAAAACCTAACCTGTTACATCTGCACTTAATTAATTTTTGCAGGTGATAAAAGATTTAAAGACAAAATATGTTAAAGGTTTTTTGAAGTGCACGGTTTAATAGTCTAAATCTTGTTCATATCTGCACTTATAATTAAATATTATTGTGAAGTCATGGCCTTACCATCTAGCACTTTTGTTTAGTGAAACATGCATACCAGTAGTTAAAGAAAAAGAGGAGACCGTGGGAGACAGAAATTGCAAACTGCTAAAATACGTGCAAAGTAATACTGATATTTTTAGAATAGTTTTCAAATATATATCAAAAGTTACCCACCCCGATATGGTTCAGAGAGAGGACAGAAAGAACTGTACAAACAATTTTCTGCAGAAGCCCATCAGGATTTGCCAGTAAGTTCACTTCCACTGCCTTTTTGTGCCCATTTGCTGGCCAGTATCTTGCAGTTGATAGAGATTGCTAGTATGATTGCTGGCCCAAAGCTAATCTTAAATTTATAAGCTAATGGCAGGTCTTTTTGAAATTTGCATTATTCAGCTTCTTGTATTGGAAATAGGGCAATAAATGTTACAGTCATTCAGAGAGATATGGGATTGATTTGACCAATCACTACTAAGAAACCCACCTTGAATTTTGAATGCCAAGGTGTGGTGTTAAATAAAAAAATATGAGCATGCTGTTTCCTGTCCCAAGGTGATACACAAAGGGAATAGGTGGGGTGGGTGGAGACCCCACCAGTAATGTTCAACTCCACTCTGGCTTTTCCCCAGCGTGATGCTAGCCACCATTACTCAGCTAGCATGGACAGAAAAGTAGAAAGATTCAGGGCAGGATTAACACACAGGCAAATTAGACACATGTTGAGGGTCTTAAGTGAAGAAGGGGCCCAGTTGTGCTTGTTTGACATAATTATTGAGTAAAAAAAGTAATATAAATATACAGTATTAAGTAGGGGCCCATGAGTTTGTTTGCCTAGGGCCCACTAAACGGATAATCCGGCTCTGGAAAAATGGAATAGATTACTTAATCTCAAAAGCAGTCTGTCTGGTCTCTGGTTTGATCATGATCAATAATATATGGATACACACACACACACACACACACACACGGAAATAAGACCTTTTTATAAATGGAATAAATAAATAAAAACAAAAATATAAAAATATGGCTAAATTGCTATCCAAGACTACTTAATCATTTCACTATAAGTTCTTTAATTTTCATTCAGAGAACGGAGAATTTGTCTTTAAAAGTCTCAACTGAAAGGCAGTATAGAATTATAGACTTAAGACTTATAAGATTAGACTTTAGACTTGTAAGTCTTAGACCTTTAGGACTATATGTTCTTACTGCCTAACACAGCAGGACCCTGATTGATTGATGCCAGTAAGTGTATACATGTAAAGACAAAAAAACAGTAATCAGTCAGACCCACTGAATTGTGCAAACTTCCTTTAGAATCTTAACTTATTTTCAAATACCTGTAATACAGAGGATTTGACTATTTTGGTAGGTAAGGCACACATTATAGTTTGGAAATGCATTGTATACAATCTTAACTTTTCAATTTCTTATTTTTTCCCTTTCCTGTTTACATCTAAACAAAGTAAAAGCACCTTCTTATCTGTCTTCTTTCTTTCATTGCTCCCTGTAAATAAATATCAGGTTTTTTTATAGAATGATAATTGCTAAATAAAAGGTATCTTTCAACTGAGGACAGTAACATCTGAATCCATTCCAGACACAAAACATAACCAATGAATAGTACAAGATTTTGTCTTCAACACACAAGTACCTTTGACAAAGGAATTATTGGTCTATTCTGAAGCAGTCATTAACAAAATAAAAACTTAAAATAGAAAATTATTTCTGAGATATTGACTCTCAGGTATCAGATAAAAATCTCAAATTCCCTTTAAATTAATCCATTATGTACTTCTGAGCATATAAACCCCACACAAACAATAACAACCAACCTAAGAACAAGGAATAAAGTCCTTTATGGGATTTATTTTCTCTGCTGCCACGATATAGTGACAGCAGAAATACATAAAAAGATGGCAATTTTGTTCACGCTTTTTGAATAAAATCATTAATTGAGGAATGAATTTCAGCCGAGACCCACATACCCTTATTTGTAATATAAATTAAGGCAAAGCAAAACACTTTAAAAAATGTTTTCAGTCTTCTCTATGAATACCTTTGAATATATATTTTTATTTGGATGAAGTAAAGAAGCAGAATCTTTATTTTTGAGGACCTGAAATATTTTGGTCTCTTATAAACTTAAGTGTGGAAGTTTACAAAAAGGCCTTCAGTTTTCTTCTACTACAGTGCACCTGGGTTTTCCCTTTTCACTTATAAAATCCCATATGTATCTACCAATGTAGTACAATGAGACAATTGTAAAAAAAGAAAAAAAGGCATTCAAAAGTTTTAAAACAATCATTATAAATCTTTTCATTAATGATATAGGGCTTATTTACGCCCTTGTGCAAGCATGTACATAATGTTTGAAATATGCAGATTAGATAAGGTCATTCCTCTGATCTGAAAGGCACCATCCTATGCTTTTTTCTGCCAGATGATTTAATAGCTAATGAGATCATACTCCTATGTCTTCAACTGTTGCCGTCATGATTTTGCAGAAATGAAGTATGAAGTCCTTTCTGCATCTGGCATCTCTTTTGATGTGGATCTAACTGCTGAGGGACTGCTAACTGAACTGAATGTTTCAAGAAAGCCAATTTTCTCAGCTGGTCGCAAAGCCTTTGACCTCAATAGTGGAACTTGGCAAATCAATGAATACACTAATGTTTAGTGTTCTGTCAAGAATTGCAAAAAAAAGCTCTGTAAACTATAGATCCTTCTGCAAAATACTAGTTTGTAGTTTAAACATTAGTCTTTCTTCAGAGGCCAATGAGGCTAGTTAATTAAGCCTGAGGGGTTATGAACTGTTGGCAGTTAATAAGTCATAAAATTCCTCCATAAAACAGGATGCTAGATTCCATCACTGAGGCTAGGAGTACAAAGAGCCGGTGTATAAATATCTAATTGTACAAAAGGACTGGGATTTCTCAATGACTGCTCATCTGGAGTCTCCAGGGCACGCTCGCTGTGGTTTCCTGATTTTTAGAAGCCAGTTTAAAAAATGAGTGCATTAAAGAGTAATTTGCCTGAAAGTTCAGGAAGTATAGGGGTGGTGAAGGGAGGGGGGAAAGGGAGAGACAAAAGGAGAGTGAGAGAGAGTGGGAAAGAGAGAACGAGAGAGAGCAAGAGAGAGATTGAGAAGGGGCAAAAGAAAGCAGAGGTGATCTCTACGTACTGGGCTGGACATTATTGCATTTGTCATCTGTTTTCTTTCCCCTTTAGGATGTTCACCATGGCAACGGTACACAGCAGGCTTTTTATGCTGACCCCAGCATCCTGTATGTTTCCCTCCATCGCTATGATGAAGGCAACTTCTTTCCCGGCAGTGGAGCCCCAAATGAGGTTAGGTTTATTTCTTTAGAGCCCCATTTTTATTTGTATCTTTCAGGTAATTGCATTGCATGATTACCCCTAATTTTCTCATCCTTCACTGGTGCTTTAAATTACACCAGATTACCAAATTGTCCACTGAGACCAGGGGACCAGTAGAGAACAAGTGCATAACCCAGAACAGTCCTTGTCAAACAAGGCTGGGCTGATTTGACATGTTGTTTGATGTTTGTTTCAAAAGCACACTTTTGTATGTTTTTGTATTTTTTTCCTCTCCTTTCCCTCTTCCCTGCTCATTTTGGCACTTCTCCCCCCTCTTTTCAGGTTGGAAGTGGCCTTGGTGAAGGGTATAATATAAATATTGCTTGGACAGGTGGCTTGGATCCCCCCATGGGAGATGTAGAATACCTTACAGCATTCAGGTTGGTATTTGTTTCCTTCTAAAAGTGCCAAAATTGGCAGTGGAATGAAAGCTTACAAGAGTAACAGCTACAGTAATCCTGAAACATATTAAAATGGCCCATTATGGAGCTAGCTTAGTCTCTCTGTAAAATTTCTGATCCTTAGAGATTGTGTAGGATTAGTAAATAGACAATTTAATTTTTCTGGACACTCACTCAAAGTAGACAAGAAAAATGCATTTAATAATTTAACCAGTCACTAATAAACATCATATTCATATAATGTCAGTAAATGAGCCTGTTCTATAACAATTAAAATTAAATGTAACAGTTATATGAGGCATGAGAAAAATACTCGGTGCTAGCTTCCCCGTAAATATATATAAGCACAGAAAATGCAAAGCCAAATGTAATATAAGCAAATCCTGCACTCTGGCAAACAGTGGTAAAACTTCCACCAAAGTTGATGAATTTGGCTAAGAACAGAATCTTCTGCTTATTGAAATTAATATGGCATTTGTTTTAAAATGAATAATTATGAAACATCATTGTAAGAGCAATATGAAACCACATCAATATATTCTTCTGTTTATCTCATGCTAAATGAAGGCTCATCCATTCAGCCATAAGCATTAGCCTTTGATATACTATTTCCATGGGGTTAGTGAAGACAAAGCCTACTTAAAACATTCCCTTGTCGTGTAATCATTTTTTATTTCGTATATCACTTCCTTTTACGGTAAAACAGAACAAGTACCTGAAAGAGTGGGCAAACTGTATGTGTTTTGAAAAAAGTATCAGGCTTCAGTTTGTAAAGGCTGACATTTAAAAAGGCAGCAAGACCAATAACCTGAGCCTCTGACTACTATTAAGACTTGGAAATTCTGTATGTATAGTATACAACTTTAAACTTGCATTATCTAGCAGATATGCCAGAAAACTTTTTTTCTTCGGTATTCTTGGGTGGTCTATGAAACTATATGCACGGTATCCAATACACGGCACACCTGAACTGAAAGGCTAAACCTCAAACATAGAGACTAAAATAGCACAGCCTCTTCCTGTTTCTGTGAAATGAATTTAAATTTTATTTACACCATTTGCCTATACTTAAATCTGTCTAAACAAATAACCAGCTAGTGACTATCATGGTGGTAGGCTTCAAATTTTGCCTCACATAAAAGTTTCATTTATCCATTGCCAAGGTCAGCCTTATTCTTTGCTGAAAATGTTATAAAACAAGGGGATTTGATGCCTCAGAGAACTCACCTCTAAGTTCTTGATTCAGGTCCAGGCTACACTGATAGTGATTGAAATTGTTACCATCTGATGGCTTAAATAAGAATTGATGGTTTCATTGTAGAGGACAGAAGTCAGCATTTCATAGACTGGGGGTGCCAAATTTATTTGATCTTGTGGGTATGATATGTGGTGCAGGGCTAAAAAGGAGTCCTGTGGAACCCTGCTACCTCACCCCCAAGCAAGATCCAGCTCACACAGTACCTATGCCAGCTGCATTGCCCCTGCAGGGCTAGTCTGAGATAGTGCCACACATGGTGCCAGCTCCAACTGCAAGCTGTTCCAGGACCCATGGCATATGGTATGGGCCCTTAACTGGCACTGTTTGGAGTGCAGTCCTGGACCAGCCATGGTGGGTGCCCTGTATGGCTGAGTCCTGGAGTGGGTGCCACAATGGTGCACAAGTCCCAGGTCCTGAATGCAAGGCTGGTTTACAGCATGCTGCATGCTGCCTGTGGGTCAACTCTGAGACTCATGAGCATCACAGGGGGGTGGATGATGGGGCTCTACCAGCTGTATCCGGCTTGTGGGCCATATCTTTGATACCCTTGGCATGTGCCAATTCCATAATTAGCATGGCAAAAAAGGGAGTTAATTATTCACCTCTGAATCTTTCCCCTTCAAGTCAAATATAAGGCACTTCCATGAATAGTTTGGAGAAGTTTAGATTACTGCTGTCTCTACTCTGCCTGTCCTACAATTAAACAGAGGACTTCACTCTCCATAACTGGCAAACCACTACTTTTCTTTAATACTACATTAACAAAGACAATTTCAATTAATAAAATATGATATGGTTTATTAAATAATAAAAAATCCCAACATGTTTGCAACCCTATAGCTGATGCACAACTCTGTTTTTTTTTAAAGGAGAAGACTTAGGAATTGAATATTATGGTTGGGTCTGCACACAAAGATGGTGTTGTTAGGTCAAAATTTAATATCGCCATTCTAGCAATATTGCCTTTAAATCCCACAATAATGTCCAAATCCTGTTCATCTAGGCTCAGCACTGTGCTAAAATGTTTTTGTAAATGAAATGCTGCTACTACACCACTATCTCAAATTCTCCTTGAAGAGAATCCTTTAAAAGTGAGGGGTTAATTCTTTTTATTTGCCTAAGCTGTTTTTAACTTCACTGCAAACAGGAATGCCATTATTACTCATTATGATGATGGCTTAGCATAGTTGCCAAAGGAGCAATCACCTTGCAGTTTGGAGGAAGGAGCACAGATGGAAGTAGGGGAGATTTTGAAAGTTGCTTCATAGAGTCCACCTAGCCTGAGTGCTAGGTGCAATTGCAACATCTCACTAAGAAGGTCTTTTAATAAGGACTCCGTTTTAATTTTTAAAGCATGAATTCATCTTGTCTTACTATGCAGACTGTGTGATAAGAAAGATGGTGGCTGTAGTAAGTCTCATGAGATACAAAGGCCAGGTATAGACATTACATTTTTACTGGTATAAGTGATCAGAAACCAGTCTATAAGTGTACCAGAACAGAAGTTTGGCACACAAAACTGGTTTATACCTGTAACAGGACAGAAGTTCAGCACATATAGTCTGGTTTAAACATGATGAAACCCAGTTTAAGATTTGCACCCCCACCGGGTGAACGCGTGTTCTGTTTACTACTGATCTAAATTATACTGGTTACAGAAAACCAAGTCACTTAAATTGATTCTGCCTTAGACTTTTTGATTATCTGTATCTAGCCAAAGCAAGGAGAAGTATGTTTAACAAGCAAAGTATATGGATCCTTTCATGCTGTTATCCTGTATGTAATGCATGAATTAACCAAAGTTCCCAGTTCGGCCACAACAATCCTGGAAAATGCACCTGAGGGAGAGATTTACTACTTGACCTTAGGTGGATTGCTGTGCAGAAAGGAAAATAAGTTAGGGGCCTGAATGACCGGCAGAGGATGTAGCAAAGCAGATTTAGATGAAATCTCAACCCCTACCCTCTCCCACCAAAAGAAACCCTAACCAAGGAGTACTGAACTTCTGGGCTGTGGACCAAATGCAACCTGTGGAGCCATCGCATCTGGCCCCACGGGGCTTCCCACAGCTCTGGAAATTTGGCAGTGGGGGAGTGATGGCCGTTATATGGTGTCCCATGCCAAATTCCCAAACCTCAAGCCCCATGTGCAGTGGGAGCCAGGCCATGTCCCCTTCTCTCTGTAGAGCTGGATTGGGGCCAGGCCACACGCACTTCACCCTTGTGAAGCTGGGCCGTGCCCATTTCCCCTTCCCCTGTGGAGCCAGGCTGAGGCTGAGACACATCCCCTTTTCCTGGGGACCAGGCCCCCTTCTTCCCCCTCCCTGTGGGGCTTGGTGAAGCTCCCATCTCCCACTGCCAGGCTGGGCTTAGGCTGGACTGTCCCCACTCTCCTCTCCACGTGGTCTGATGGTGACTTGTGCCGGTCCTGGGTGCCACCATCTGGCCCATAGTCAGAAATACCACCTGGCCCATGTCAGGTCAGACCAGGCACTGGCTATCTGACCCAGCAGGAAAAAAGGATGAGCACCACTGCCCTAACCTAACTGTAAAAGCAATGGAACAACCTATGTAGTCAAGTTATGGCATCTTTTTTCTTGCGGGTTTTCAAGAAGTGGTTATATAGGCATCTCTCTGGGTGGTGTAAGAAGTGCAAATCTTGCAAATGTGCACAGGATATGATCACATGACCCCGGAGGTCCCTTTCTGCTCTGTTCCTGTGATTCTAAGATGCTTTCTGATGATGCTAAAAAAGAGAAGGAGTATTATGCTCCTTGTCATATACATCAGAGTTGTTGTACAAATTGCAAGTCACTGTCTGTGCCCCAAGAACATAACTGAAGTAATGGGGATAGACATTTGTTTGCAGAGGAATGTGGCCTTCATGCTTTTTGGTTGCTTAGCTGAACCCCTAAATTTACAAGAGTTTAGAAAATGAGATATTTGTATTAAAGTCACCTAAAACTTCTCAGGAAGTACATATAACTCTCGTTTCCAGTTGGCAAAGCTCTCCTTCTAGAATTATCCTGGAATTTTTTTTTAAATGGTGAAAATGATGACATTACATAGTCCATTATTGTTTTTTGATTATCCACTGAATTTTAAAATAGAGATCTCCTAAATGATCATATCCCAAAAAAACCAGAGCCCAGTTGTTTTTCTTCCATAGGATTTTTTGTTCATAGATAGGCGTTGGACCTTGAATAACACTTATAGTGTTAAGTATGTAATATTTTATCTGAAGCAGGGCTGAATTAATGCATAAGCAAACAAGGCACATGTCTGGGGCCCTAAATGAAGAAGGAGCCCAGTTGTGCTTATTTTACACATTATAATTATTGAATGAAAAAAATAGGGGCATGCACATTTGTTTGCCTAGGGCCCACTAAAAGGTTAATCTGGCCCTGATCTCAATGTCTGTTCCTATAAACACACTCATACACATAACACAGTATCAGTTCTTATACCTATTGCATTACTGGGTGGATCCAATTAAAATAACCTTTGTTTATGTGAAACAACAGTTAAATCTCAATCTCTTTCCTCTAAAGCAGTCTAGAAAATATCTTACTAGCATTCACAGAATAAATTAAAATGAAGTATGTGTAGTTACAGGTTAGAAGCCTAATGGAGAGTAGTTGCTATAAGAGTGCTTAATGAGTGGCTGTCATGGGAATATTTTGAGAAATATTTAAAAAAATCATTCTGGCCTTTAGCTACCA